ACTGCACCTTCAAACTAGCAGCCCTCAATTTCCATTGCTGAAACTCGGAGGAGAATGGAAGAATTGCCCCAAATACATCCCTGGAAGAATAGAACAAATTCTCTTAGGAATTAATAATCCCAGAAAACTCTGCCTGGGAGAAATTGACAAATTCAGAGAGATCCCCTTTAGAGCTGCCATGATTACATTCTCCCACCTGCAACTCTTCTTGCATGTTTTCCTCCTCCTGGGTCAGCAAGAAGCCTTCAGCCAGGGACACCGCCTGGGAACTGGTCTCTGCTCCACACTCCCGCACCCATTTTGCCATCTCTGGGGGAAGCACAGCCAGGAATTGTTCCAGGAGCACCAGATCCAGCATCTGAGCCTTGGTGTGTTTTTCTGGTTGCAGCCACTGACGGCAAAGGTAGTGAAGCTGAGTGCAAACATCTCGGGGGCGGCTCCCCTCCTGAAACTGCACTTTTCTGAAGTGGCAGCATTGGACCTCTGAACTATTGGATGCCTCTTCATGGCTCTTCTGCCCAGGATTCATTGCCCCATTCCTCCCACAGGTCCAAGGCTGAGCAGCCGGAGGGCCTTTTCTAATTTCGGCATCTGCTGGGTATTGTCCCTCCATCTTCTCTCTGGTCTCTAGTACAGCTCCAAAGCAGAAGGGAAGGAAAAAATTTAAAAAAGGAAATTTAGATGGACCCACCAATATCTGGGAAGGAGGTGAAATCTTATTAGTTAACTTGATCTCTCTACAAATGGGGAAAATTGCAGTGAACCCTTCAGGATGTCAATGTCCATCAAAATACTGGAAAATACTTTTAAATACCTTTTTGATTTCTACTTCCTAGTTTTTATTAAAAATTTAGTTTTTCATTTTATGTCTTCTGTATTATTTTTATAAATTACTCTAGGCAGAAATTAAACATAATGCTCCTTCTTACTATTTTCCCCACAACAGATCCGTGAGGTACATTGGGCTGAGAGTTGGGATGGGCTGAAGGCTTTCGTGCCAAAGGGTGGACTGGATTCTGGTTTCAAGCCCAGTGCTTTCATCACTGAACCAAATGGCTCTCTGTGGCTAAAAATAATTGAATATAATTTAATTTAAAAGACAGTTTAATATCATTTCTATGGCTGCATAGTTAAGAACAAGTCCTTGCACACCTTGCTCCCAACTCCTCGCACACCTTCACCCAAGTTGAAGCCTTGCATGCAAAGCCAGCAGGAGGGACTCCCACCGCTCGCTTCTCTCGGCCTGGGAAGCGGGAAGAGAGGGAAACCCCTTCTAAAAACGGGGCCAAGAAATATGCAGGAAACTGTGCAGGAGTCAAGGGTGACTTGGAGGCACAAATCTGTTTTGCAAAGACGACCTCTCCTCCTCTCCCTCCCACGCAGAGCTTTTCCCATCTAAATGGAACCTAAATCATCTTCTCTGCGACCCTGGTTTTTATCCCCCTGGGGGCAAAGCGAAGGATCCGAAGCTTTACTTTCTTCACTCCCTGGCCCGTTCATGCACAGGGACGGCAGGGGAACATGGGACCACTGGCTCCCCGTCCCCCTTTCCAAGATCCAAGCCTGATGAATGCGAGTCTCCAGCGCGGGAGATAATCCCCACCCCCACCCCATCAATGAACCCCAACTCACGTCTGGATCTCCAAGACTTCCCTGCAGCCTCTTTGCTTGCTAGAAAGGCTGACACAAAGGCAGAATCGGGCACTGTAGAAAGAGAGGACAAACTTTCAAGTATTGCCGTTAAATGCCTCGTGAAGCACACAGCTCTACTGACTTGGGAAAGAGGCCGGCACATGCTCAGTTCTCTTGTAAGGCGGGAGGGGAGGAAGGAGCTGCCCAACTCTTCCAGGGAGCCCCCTAGAGGATCCTGTGCGCATTGCGAGAAGACCCTGCAAGGGCGCAGGACGTCATGTTCCATGCGGGTCTGGGATGATGGGCATGAAAGTTGAAGGAAAGTTTGGTTCCCTCTAACATTGCCTACCTAGAAAGGAAGTGGCCTCTCCAGCAAGCATCAGTTTCTAGATTTTCCACTTTTTAATCTCTAAGAACCGTCTATGATCTTGTGAAGATTGAGAAAATCTCTGTGGAGACTCAAAAATTGCGTTCCTCAAGAGGAAATACAATACAATCAAAAGCTTCGTATATTTTAAAATGTTATATTTATACCAAAACAGAATAACATCTCGTGAATAACCATACCAGTGATATTCAATTAAGTTTATTTAAATCAAATTTAGACTTTTTCCGAATCCTTGTTATACCATAGAAATGCAAAAAATGTTTGAAAAGAATTTTTTTGAACATTCACTTCATTCAGACTTATTTTGTGAGAGGAATTAATTCTGAATTTTCCCCCCATATAGGATACATTGATATATTTGTGAAGAGTTTACCACATATTTACCACATACCACCTTTCACCAAACCCAGACACCTCAAAAATGAGGGTGTGTGAATGTGAGCCTTTTATACTTAATTCCCCTTTGAAACTCCTGCAGCATGATGGGTTTATTTTGTGCCTAGTTAAAAGTGATTGCCCTGGATCCTGTCTTCCTGCTTTCATGGATTAATCCTGTCCCAGGCCAGGACCTTTGTCTTTCCTATCCTGGGGGTTAATCTTGTCAGGGGGCAGGAAAAGGGAGATTTTAGTTCCTTTATTTTAGCCTGATTCCCCTTATGTTCCCCTTATTAAGTATTTGTTACTTTTGTAACAGCCATTAGCAGGGCTCCTCTGAGTTTTCCTTTCAGATGGTGCTTCTTGATGTTTTTTTTAAAGGGGGGATGGCTGGCTTGAGTCTCTTGGCAGGGTATCCTGAAGTTTCTGGTGCTGCGAGGTTTCTGGCACTCCTTTTGTGTACCTCCTATACCATAAAACCCATCCTGTGTCTTGTGGCTGATGGCAAACTCAGCCCTGAAGTGAGGGGAGATCAGGGTACTGGCAGAGACACAGGGAGGAAAGCGACAGGTTGAGGAACATTAAGATTTGTACTGATTTTTCCCCAATCATTACAGCTGCCTTTTCAAATTCATACCTCTGGGCAGCCAAGGAGGGTTAGAAACACTAAATAATGTGAATAATCCTGAAGAATAGATCCTGATGAAAAAGAGGCATCAAAAGAAAATATCCAAAATGAAAGCTCAAATTTGTGGACCTTTAAATTTTTTTACCTCAAAACAAGCAGCCATGATGGAGAAATCAGGATTGGGAGAGTAAGGTCTCATATGTGACGAGAGAAAAAGTGGGATTACAAAATGAAGGAAGGCAAATACTGAAAAATATAAAGCTCAAATATCAGTACCATGAGGCAAAAAGAGAGGGGGGAGAGTGAGGAGGGAGAAACTAAAATGATTAGTTTTATTTTAGTTATTAATACGCCTCAGGAAATTTGAATAGGAACTTTACTTTGCAGTAAAAGAATTTTATTTTTCTAGCCAAAAGTAATGAAGATTTTATTGGTTTGAAAAGATTAGTCTTGATTTGGTGGATAGTGCAAGAAAAAAGAGATTTAGCTACAATTAGTGTAACAAAGGATGGAGGGAAAATTGTGGTGAAGAAACAATTTTAAGAGAATGGCCTTAACTTTTCATTCTGCCTCCATTCCTTTTTCACCTTTATATTCTTTATATATCAAGGCTCTAAGTCCAATCTGTCTTCCATTATGAAAAAACTGACATGATTACAAAACCAAAATCAGTACACTTTCACCTGTTGGATCCAGAACCATCAGTGAAAAATATTTGAATAAGTATTTCAAAAGTAGCCCCATCCTCTGAAAGCCTAAAGTGTCATCCCCCCAGAATACAATCAAAAGTGTCGTGTATTTTTAATTTTTAGTTAAAACAAAACAGAATTTCATTCCATCTTATGAATAACCATACCAGTGATATTTAATGAAGTTTATTTAAATCAAATTGAGTTTTTTTTCCTAATTCTTGTCATACCATCGAAAGCCAAAAAATGCTTGAAAAAAGTTTTTTTGAATATGCATTTCATGGGCTTCCCCTCATTCTGGGTGAGAGGAATTCTTCATCCCGAAGATTTTTCCATACAGGATACATTGATATATTTGTGATGAGTTATCACATATTAAGAGGCTTTTCATCACATAAGTTTCCATGATTTGTGAGTATTATGATCCACCAATCCTAGAGCCAAATCTCACCTCTGTCTATCTATAAGGAGAAACTGATTTTATTTTCTGAAGTAGTTTTTAATTTCATATTATTCTTTTATTTTTATTTATTTATCTGATTATCAATAAACCAAAAGTCTTTCACTCTCATTCTCCCGAGTATCCTTAACTTCAGAGAGAGAGATTATGGATCCTTTTTTTTTTATTATTTTTTTAAATTTTAAACAACAAACATGAACATTAAACATACAACACTGAATAAAATCTTCTTTCCATTATACAGTGTGTCGGTCGGTACATATCTCTTGTGCACAAATCAGCAGTCATTTCATCCTGTTTTTATGTTACTATTCATATCGTATATAACTTTTTTCCAGGCAAGATTCAACTATTATAAAGCCTGATTTATATTCATTTCTATATAATCAAACATATCATATTAATCGCTTATAACGTATCACTCATTACTTTTTATCTTAACTATTATATTTCTATTATATTATATTGTATTTCTCTATTTTTTTTGTCTAACCATGTATAAAATAAATCCCATATTTTATAATATTCTTTTTCTTCTTGCTCTCTAATCGCAAATGTCAATCTACTCATTTCCGCACATTCCATTATTTTCTTTATCACTTTCTCTTCTATTGGAGCTTTTTCATTTTTCCAATTTTGCGCAAATACTATTCTAGCTGCTGTCAAAATATTAACAATCAAATATGTCAATTCTTTACTATATCCTTCAGGCAAGATACCCAATAAAAATATCTCTGGTTTCAAATCGATATGTTTTGTCATTTTTTCCAACCATGTATTAATTTTAGTCCAGTATCTTTTGGCTTCCACACATATGTCCACCACATATGGTAATACGATCCAGGTGTCTGATGGCATTTCCAACATTTCTCCAATTTGTTCTTGAACATCCTTGCTATTCTTGCCGGGGTAAATGCCACCTTTAAAACATCTTATACAAATTTTCTTTATATGCTGTTGACATAACTTCTGCCATTTTTCTAAATCTATCCCATATCCAAAGTTCTTCCCCCAGGCAATCATTGTTTCTTTGACTTGTTCTTCTTCTAGTTTTGATTATGGATCCTTTTATTGGACCTGAGATCACCACTATTTCTAAAGCCCTCTCCACACTGCAAACAAATATATGACTTCTATCCTATGTGGCTCCTCTTGTGGCGATGAAGATGACTGCTATGAGCAAAACTCTTCCCACATTCCATGCATTGATATGGTTTCTCTCCTGTGTGGATCCTTTTATGGGTGGTAAGATCAGAATTCCACCTAAAGGCCTTTCCACATTCCACACATTTATATGGCTTCTCTCCTGTGTGGCTCCTCTTGTGGCGATGAAAACTACTGCTAGAAATAAAGCTCTTTCCACATTCCATGCATTTATAAGGTCTTTCTCCTGTGTGGATCCTCTTGTGGTAATTAAAGCTCCTGCTGCAAGTAAAGGTCTTTCCACACTCAATGCATTGATACGGTTCCTCTCCTGTGTGGATCCTATTATGGGAGGCAAGATTACTACTCTTCCGAAAACCTTTTCCACACTCCATGCATTTATAAGGTGTTTCTCCTGTGTGGATCCTTTGATGACTTACAAGAGAGTGATTATTACGGAAGTTCTTTCCACACTCCATGCATTTATAAGGTCTTTCTCCTGTGTGGATCCTCTTGTGGCAATTAAGACGACTGCTATAAGTAAATGTCTTTCCACACTCCATACATTTATAAGGTCTTTCTCCTGTGTGAATCCTCTTGTGGTAATTAAGATGACTGCAACAAGTAAAGGTCTTTCCACACTCCATGCATTTATAAGGTGTTTCTCCTGTGTGGATCCTTTGATGACTTACAAGAGAATGATTATTACGGAAGTGCTTTCCACACTCTATGCAGGGATATGGTTTCTCTCCTGTGTGGATCCTCCTATGGCGATTAAGACGACTGCTACGACTAAATGTCTTTCCACACTCCATGCATTTATAAGGTCTTTCTCCTGTGTGGATCCTCTTGTGGGAATTAAGAGTACTGCTACAAATAAAGTTCTTTCCACACTCCGTGCATTTATAAGGTCGTTCTCCTGTGTGATTCCTTTGATGAATTATAAGAGTACTTACAAGTGTATGTATTTCCACACGCCATGCAGGTAAATTGTTTATTTTCTGAATGTGCTTTTTTATGAGAAATGAGATGATTCGATTTATTGAACCTCTTTCCAAACTCCATGGATTTATATGGTCTTTCTCTCATATCAATCATTGTATGGTTAGGAAGCCAACTGACCCAAGGAAGACTTTTTTTAATTCCACTTTGTGATTGCTTTGTTTCATCACTCTTTGGTTGCATCTGATCTACAAATTTCCTTTTTCCACCTTTCGAATGGATCACTTGTTCCTCTTCGCAATTCTTATTCTCTTGCCCATTAATGCCTTGAAAAAGAAAAATGAGAACTGTAGCAAGAATAGGGGAACAATCAAAACTTTTCTTCTGAAATTTAGCCAAAGAATCATCAATATATTTCAGCTGTTTTGTGGGCAAACATGAAGAGTCCAAACTAAGATTATAACAAAGACCTATTTCCCAGTGTATCCCTAATGATACTTCTATATAATAGGATTGGATCACAGGCCTGATATAATATTCGACCTGGGACAATTCCATGGTGCCACAATCTCCCAAAGTGCATTGGACACTGTATCATGCTAGGGTAGCAACATACCGAGCACCTCCCAACTTCAATAAAAGTCTCATCTCCACTTGTCTG